AAACTCCTTTGACTGTAGTCAGGATCAGCTATATAATTTGTGGCCTCAGTGCAAATAAAAATGCAAGACTCCTTATTCAAAAAGTATTAAAAATTTAAAATTATTAAGAATTTCAATATAGCAACAGCAAAGCACTAAATCAAGTGTAGGATCCTTATAAGCATGGGTTTTTTATGACTGAGCTGGACCCACACACAAGGCCAGCCCTGTCTATAGCACCCAGTCCTAGGAAGTCCCTACCTCGTAATCTCTATTTGCATCACTACTACAACTGTTTGTTTATGTATTATCAGAGAGATCACTCTTGGACACTCTTTTCTGCTCCATGAAATTTTAAGAAATAAAAGATATTGAAGATAATCTGGCAGATTTGTAAAATAATCTGGAAGATTTGATTCAATACACACCAATATGTGTCCATTCTCACATCCTGGAAGCCATTTCAGAGCACTTGTATCCAAGGAATGAATTTCTTTGAAGTTGCCTCTGTTACAGTAAAAATAAGGTGAATAACCTACTGATTTCGATTTCCCTGGACCTCATTTTCTTCATGTGTATATGAAGACAGAATTGTCCGCTGCATCCGATGGCTATGAGAATTGAGATGTGTGACACAGATGTGTTTTTCCATGGTCCACCATGGTTGCTCCAAACCAATTTTAGGGTTAAATTTAGTATTTATTGGTTTCTACAAAATGTAGCCAAAGCCACAGTTCATTAATAAAGAAATAGATATTTTGCAGAAATTATATGGGGAGATGGGGAGAAAATGATTATACTGTAGACCCACAGCAGAAACATCATCAAATTCCCATAAAGTATCTCTGTTGTTCCCTCAGAATTTCTCTCCTTTGGCAGCTACCTAATCTCACATTGTTTTCTTCCCTAAATTAATCTCCCTAAACATTTTCCTCATCCTTCTTTGATTATTTTGAAATATCGAGTTACCTCTTCAGTTTACAAATAAAATTCAGCAAAATAAAAGCTTGTTAGTCAACTGAGCCATGATCATCTACTGTGCCTCGAACATGTTCTGTGAGCATCTCACCCACCACACCCAATCCAAGAGGCATCTCGAAATATCCCCTCTCCTAGGAAGATGGTACAGATTTGGAAAAGTCTGCTGCCAGGAAAATAAGATTTCCTCCATATAATTATATAGGTAAAGTAACTGGTTTGCAGTAAATGTTAATTCCCTTCCTCCTCTCAGCTTTTTCACGGTTTCTGTCTGAACACTTCCAGTTATGAGAGAATTTCACTCACAAGGTAAATTCATTCTATTTATCAACAACTCTACTTATTGAAAAATGTCTTCTTATGTTGACTCAAAATCCACTTCCCTGTAACTTCTGTCTAATATATGCCATTCCCTCTAGGACAAGCTAGTACAAGCTTCATTCTTTTCCAAGATGACAGCTTCTTCCTTCACAGGTTTCTCCCAGTTATTCACTGCTCTTTCTGTGACAGACTTTGCAAATTCTGGACTGTACTAGTTTCCTTCTATTGAATAGGCTCCAACTTTTCTTTATACCGAACTAAATACAATATCCTAATGTGGTCTTTGATGTAGTCTAAACTGCCAAAGGATCATTTCTTCTCTAGTTCTGGACACACTCTGATTTAATCAAAGCATCTCAATTTTTTCAGCTCTTAGGGAAGCCCTCTCAGGAGGCTCTTTGGAATAGCACAAGGTAGAAGTGAAGCAATTGTGTGAAGCCTTGTGATTTAATACTAATAATGCTGAAGCTGGCCACCAAAAACCTCACAAGTCAGGGATGGAAGGATGGGTAGAACTCAGAGCAAAGTCATCAAGTAGCATTAATTGAAGTTTCAACATCCCAAGTGACAGGTTCCTTAATCTAGTTGAACCCAGGGAATAAATATTACTCAGTAACAGCTTGTCTGCTCTTACGTCTTCAGTGATTCAACAAATCAAATACTTAGTGTCTCTCAGGCACTGTGTTGACATGGTCCCATTCTCAAGCAAGTTAGAGCCTAATGAGAAAACAAACAACTGCAGTAAAGGCTATAAAAGAATATAATAAAGTCTAATAAGAAACAGGATAAAAGGAGGCACATACTTTAAGTGTGTATGGTCAAAAAAAGATGTTTTTGCGAAGATAATATTTAAGCTGACATCTGAAAGAAAAGGAAGATCTAGCCAGACATAGAGTAGATGAAGAGAGGTCATGGCAGCAAAGGGCATACCAGCCGGGGTTGGGTGGGGGTGGGGGGATCAAAAGTCCCAAGGGAGAAAATGTTGGTGTGTTGAAAGCATGTCAGTGTGATGAAAGCTTAGTGAATCAGAGGGAAGAAGGCAGAAGATGGAGATGAAGATAGAAAGATGGACAGGGACCAAATCACACAAGCCCTGGAGAGCCATGGGTCAAAGACTGAGTGTTATGGAGTATGTGCTACTAAAAGTGTTCAAAGAGCTTTAAGCAAGAGAGTAAAATGATCTGATTAAGGCTTTAAGAAGATAATCCTGGCTGCTTTGTAAAGGATAAATTGGAGGAAGGCAAGAAAGGATGTTGGAGACCAGTGTGGAGACTGTTGTACTTCAGGTGAAATTGATGGAGGATTGGATAGCAATGATAAGTAACAACACAGATAGAGAAGATCAGAAGATTTGAAATGTAGTCTGCTTATCACAGTCTTAACTGAAGTTCAACTCATCCAATCCAGGTATCTACATATACCTAAATATACCTAACAGTTCTTAAAATATGGCCCCCAGGCAGGCAGCATTGGCATCACCTGGGAACTGTTCAGAAATGCCAATCTCAGGCTCCACTCCACACAATGAGCCAGAAATTCTGGCGATGGATCCCAGAAATCTATGTTTTAACAAGCCCTCCAAGAGATTCTAATATGTACTAAAGTTTGAGAGCCACTGACCTAGAGGAATTAATTAACTTGTGACTTTCTGAATACAACAAACATGCATGGAGAGTTACTGGGCCAATAGTACGTAATTAAAATACACTTGCTCTATTGTTAATAAAGCCTGGAATAATACAACAGACTTCAAATATTATTATAGTGCTCTGCAATCAAATTCTAGTTTCTACATTCTAGGAACTTATATGAAAACTTTGCCATTAAGGTCAAGAGAATCCTCTTCTGGGCCTGCTGGAACATTTTTTGTCCTTACATAGTCCCAGCTAGGCTTCTACTCTTGTGTTTTCCATGATGCTTTGTACAAGGATGGTTGCATCCTTGTATCTGATCTCAGGCTTTAAAGTCTGCTTATAAATTTGTTCAAATACGTCATCTTTATTATTTGGATTCCACAGAGATTCCTCCTTCCAATATACTTGGAGAAATATTGCTTGGCTGCTTTGTTAATCATGGGAATAATCTTTTTGGTTTGCTTTGCTGCTCTCTGTCTCATCCTAGAAAGAGAGAGAAGTTTGATTTATCACACTTAGTAGACAAAAGTCACTACCTGATGGTGTAAATTAAAAATAGCTGTCTCCTGCATGCAGTACAGTGGCACTTCCTCTGGCATGCCATTAAACATGCCCCTTGGAAGCACTGGTTTAAAGACATCACTATGATTGTATTTCACAACATTTTTGGGTACGCTACTTCATCGTGATTAGTATAGATTATTAATAATTACATATTTATAGTCTTATTCAAAGAGTAGTCACTTGAATTTAGACCTAAGAAAGGGAAAGACATTGTCCTGTCTAGCAGCTGGGAGTCAGGATAAAGTGATCATGTTCCCAGAGTGTGGACACCATGGAGAAAACATAAACAGATTTCCCAGTAAGAAATTCAGGTCTGGAATAGTGTCTGAAACACTAGTGGGTCCTGGAAAAATTAATTGTTCATTCAGCTTTAACAAGGAATGAAGTTCTGATACATGCTACAACACGGATATACCTTGGAAACATGATGCCAAGTGAAAGAAACCAGTTACAAAGGGATAAATATAGTATGATTCCACTAATATGAGGTATCCAGAGTGGGCAAAGTCATAGAGACAGAAAGTAGCATAGAGGTTACCAGGGTTTTGGAGGAGAGGGAAATGGGGAGCTACTGTTTAATGGGTTCTGAGTTTCCGTTTGGAAAGATGAAACAGTTCTAGAACTGGATAACGGTGAAGGTTGTACAACATTTTCAGTGTACTTAATGCCACAGAAACGTACACTTTAAAATGGTTAAAATGTTATGTATGTTTTGGCACAATAAAAAATAAAATAAAATTGTTTAAAGAAGGCACTGAGTAAATACTGTTTACTGATATCTCCACAGGGCTATTAAAAGGATGAAACAATATATTAAATGACTGCAAATACTCATTGTCATATTATTGCATATTCTGAAATTATTATATTTACCCTCTTCATTGTCAGAACACCTCAGAGTTGAACACAAGTTATCTGTATTTAGAAAGCAGGCTTTGTCAGCAATAGAGTTATACAAATGTGACCACAAATATTACTCATTAGGTCTTGCAGCTCCTAGACCAGATGCCTTCATCCTTGGTCTATCAAATATTCTAAATGACTAAATACACATATTTTACAAATTTACTTTAGACCATATGTTCATCTTAATTCATCAAGGAAATAAAAATTGTACCATGAATCCCTTCCCTTTCTTTTTTTACACTAAACCCAAGAAGTCAGTAAAATGTAAAAGCTAAGCAGTTTCTAATTTCGGTTTACACATTTTCTGTAAACTGCAAAAATCCACCAGAGGAGGATTTTTATGTGTAATAAAAACCTGCATAGTTTTCTCAGAAGGGGGTTTCATACCATACGATCCTCACCAATCTAGAAAGAAAGTGCAATTCCTGATCTGTAACTGCTAGCACACCCACCTGTCCCTTCTTCCCTAATGAGATGAAATTATAACGAGGAGAGCAATTTGCAAATATCCTCCCCTTGGCTGATTTACACTTCTACATCGTGTGTCAAATCCTTTCTGAATCCTTTTTGTTGCATATATGAGAAGACATTTAGAAAAAGATTTTGGAATGCCTTTAATCTTCTAAATCAACAATAAAGAAAAAAATGAAATAAAGGTCAAGGTTTTGATACACTGCTTCTAAAATACATCCCATACTGAGTAAAATACCATGAAATCATCTGTCAGAACCGACTTTCGTCCAGAGACTACATTCCAAGAGCGTGAAGACAGCGAAGTGGCTATTGATGGTTTTCTTAGATTCCAATGCACCTTAATCATAGTCACAAGACTGTGCATTTTCATCACTGCAGGAGCTGGCAGAATTTTGTGACAATCCTGGGAAATGTTTTCAGATGGCCCCTTCTATGAATTATGAATGTTTCACAAAGCTCTATGGTAAGTGGAATAGCCTTGTTCTCCACAAATGCAGGGGAGGATTAAGAGGTGGCCTTTCTTTGTTTCTTTGCCTTGACATTTAATATTTTTTGCACACACAAAAATTAAATCTTGATGAAGGTAAGTAGGTTTTAATTAGTTGTAAACAATTATTTTGTCTTATAAAGAATTATATTTGTTTATTGTATTCATTAGAGATTATATAAATACTACCATTTTCTTTCCAGACTGTGCTTAATGTGATATAAATAGATTTACAAATGACTGCTTTTAGTTGGGGGGAAAAAAAAAAAAAACCTCAGTTCTCATTATTCATTCTAGTAGTTTTCTATAAAGTCACCACAAATGCTGAATAAGCAAATACTAAACCATTGCTCCTAGGGGAAGTACAGTGTTAGGTTCCTGCAAGCCTCTAGTCACATTTTTGTGAACCTTGTTTTATGTGTGTCTCTGTTTAAATACATCTTATTTAATATATAGTGTTGACTCATTAACATTGAACTCAACCACCGGCACAACGACTCGTGCCTGAAGGAAGTTTATTTAACACATATATTTTTTCTGTAAGGCACATTACAGTTTTCTTCCACTGAGGAACAATAGACAACACTTCAGCACTACACTTGGGGACCATTTTAAACACTGAAATCACCAACAAGTAAGCACAAACATGAAAAAATGGCACTCAATACACTGAGAAAAGGACTCTTGTTTACAATATAAAAGCTAAAACAAGAAGACAGAGCATTGCCTTCCTTGACTTCAGCTGGGAACATGTGCTTCAGATGACTCAAATTCTTCCTGCTCTGCATATGTCCTTGAATGGCCATGAAAACACTAACAGTGTTGATCTTGCGATTATAAATAAATTTTAACAAGTAGGAGAACTTACAAATACCAATTTCTCAAATAATGGGAATCAACTATATACATAGTCACCTGAGACGTGTCTCCGCTCAAGACCATTTTTCACCTCAAAATAGTGGCCAGTTGTTAGGACACAGTCAGGAAAGCCCGCCCAGTTACTGTGAGATCTCTGTTCCACTGTAGTCTTCATTCTACTTCCACAGACTCCAGACAGTCTTATAATAAAAGTTACCTTACTCATTTCTCTTTGTTCTATAGGTTTCCATGAGTGAATTTGGTGTTATGGCAAGATTTGAAACTGTCTGACCTGTTAGGGGTGAAAACAACTTGTCTGGACTGTCTGCCTCTCACTGTGGGAGCAGCTCCTGGCTTAGAAGTTCTAGACAAGGTCCAAAGGCAGTTAACAGAGAACCCACATCTTAACACAGGAGATTCCAGGGAGTCACACAGATGGCCCCCATGGAGGGTCAAGCTGGACGAGGAAAGGGAGGTGAAATATGAGAGAAGCTGAGAGGATGCACAGCAGGAAGACAAGCTTTCAAGGAGCGTCAGCATGTGCATCTGCATTTAGACCACAAAGAGCAACAGTGCTGGAATTTCCACTCTCTGAGGTGTTTGGTGTGTGAATCCCATGGTAGGGAAAGTTGTTTTGAAAGAATCATGCAAAATTGAAGAGAATGTTTATTTAATAAGCATCAAGTTTTGCTCAAGCTTAATACATTCTCAACTGTGTGACTTTAGGAAATACAATCTGTACAGTATCTCTGAGGTAACCACTTACCATAGACAACAATACAACTCATACAGCTAAAATAAGCATCTCAAAAGTATCTGCCCAGCCCTCAGCTTCCCAACCACTCTGTGCAGATATGTGTCTATTTTGTACCTAAATATTACCCAAAGTGGAAACTGTCCACCCATATCTCATTTCTGTGTTTTATCACAGTAAGTCCCTATTCTATGAATTTGCTTTTGCCATTTTTATGACATATCAATGTCTGTTCAAAAGACTCCCATAAATTATTCAGCTTCTAGTAGGTCACCTAAGAAAGGCCAAGAGAGGAATTTTCCATCAAATTAGTACTTTCTTCACCAGAAATAAGGGTGGAAGGCTCTCTCAACAAGACACCACAGAAGAGGCGGGTGGGTGGTAAATTTCTTCTTTGTTTTTCTTCTGTAGTCGATGCCTCCTCCATGACAGTTTTACTATGTGATAATTATTTGTTAATATGTTTGGTTTTCCTCTAGATCCAACCTTCCTTGATGAAAGGATGTTAGGTGCTCAATAAATGCTTCATGAAGAAATGAATCCAATAACATGCCAGGTCTGCTTCTATCTATACCTTATCACCTACATTTTTGGCTTTATTAATTAACAAAGAAGTGGGGAGGGAGTAAATTTTTTTATTCTAAGAACTCACTTTGCTCTAAAGTCCTCTGAGCAACATGTGGGCATCATGGTCTGTCTGCATCCCAATTAATATGTTTTCACTGAGCTTCCTTTCCAGGCTGGATGCACACAGAGTGCCAATGCAAGTGTTGAAGACCTGCTCCCTAACCCTACTTGGACGATCTGTTCTAGTCCTTTGGAAGCTTCTTCCTCTGACAGGATACTATCCTAGAGATTATCCCACTCCCCAGGGATAAGGTAAGGAGGCAGAGACCTACACTCAATCCCCAAATCTTATCTATGATTCAGGCATGAGAGATCATCATGGCTACTGATCCTTCTCTGCCCTCTTTCCCATGCAAGTGATCCTACAGGATTTCTAGTATTCTAAAGGTAGCCCAGAGCCATAAAAGCATTTAAAATAGCATTTTCTGAAGTAAGGGAAGAGTACTTGATGTGGAGTCTGGAGATTAGGATTCAAAGCCAAGTTCCATCTCTTTGGAAAAGTCATTGGTTAAGCTTTGAGCTTCAGTTTCCTCGTCTGTAAAATGGATGCAATAATAACTATCTTGTGAAGTGCAAATAATATAATGGGTGTGAATATATTAGATGAACTAAAAAGTTATGCACCTACATTTACTAACTTACTACATGTAAGTTAGTGAATGTAACTCAGCTCTCACCACACAGGCCTTCTATCTGGTCCATTAAGTTCATTCCTGCCCAAGTCCTTTGTACTTCCCTCTCCATCTGCCTAGACTGCTATTTGTTGGGTTCCTTCATGACACATTTCTACTTCAATCATGTCTACTTAAATGTCACCTCCTCAGAAAGAATCTCCCTGGCCTTTTATCACCTTAACCCACTTTATTTTTTCTTGGCAGCACTTATTGCTTATATTACACTTGTTTGTCTACTGCCTCTCTCTTACTGAAACACGAGGTTTTTGAGGGCAAGTACTTTGTCTTTTGCTGTGTGTCTAAAAGCTATAATGACCCACAAATAGTAGGTGCCTATTAAATATTTGTAGAATGAATGAATAGATGTGTAAATATAAGCATAGGAACAAAAAACATCTAATGATGAGATGCAATTATAGCCAGAGAAGTAATGAAGATGAAGAGAAAACATTTGATCTGGAATTGACCCAAACCAGAATGTTAGAATTTTGTAAACAAAGTTCTATCAATTTTTTCATAAGCATAAATTATCAACACTTTAAATTCGTATGTAGATTATAAATTATTGCAAACAACAACTTGTCCTTATCTCTTTGTATGCCCCCTCTCCTATTGCCAAGCAGAGTAGTCAGTGAAACTGGATAAAATGTTAGTTTATTTGTTTATAAAGACATCACTTCAATGCAATGCCTCTGACAACTTACTAGGGTATTGATTTAGCATTAATTCAGAGAAAAGGTAATAGCCCTTAGACAAATTAGACACTGTTTGTGTCTACAATTATATTTCTTGGTGATATCTTGTTCAAATTGACCCAATGCTTATAAAAATCTGCTAAAAATCACAGACTGGGGTAGAGAGGAGGGCTCAAGAATTGCAATGCATGGAGGAAATATACGTGTTCCTCCATGAATTTCCCCCTCTTCCTTTCTCTCTTGCTGCTGTCACAACCTTGCAGACTCAATAAAGATGGTGATAAATTAGGAAAGGGGAGATGATGGAGGAACCTGTGGAAGAGGAAAGAGGAGAACAGAAAATGAGAAGACGAAATCTAAGTGAGAGCACATGAATACGGCAGGAGATCTATGAGTCAAGAGGACCTGCACTGAATGTTTATCTTATCAATGACCCATAGTAATGAAAGCCAACTGTGCAAAAAATAATATACCTACAGGAATCTTGCAAGCTGTAGAAAAAATCACGGGATGGTTATTTTAGAATATGGACACAAATTCTTTATTTAAAGCATTAAGTAATGTTAATCTATTCATTCTGCAAATACGTATTAAATGCTAGCCATGGATATTACTAAACCATGGAGATTATTAAAAAGAGCCTGGAATCCCTTCCCTCTCTATCCTGCTCCCTCTCTCATCACGTGACACATCAGCTCCCCATTCGCCTTCTGCTATGATTGAAAGCTTCCCGAAGCCCTCACCAGAAGCAGATGCTGGTGCCACACTTCTTGTACAGCCTGCAGAACCATAAGCCAAACAAACTTATTTTCTTTATAAATTACCCAGCTTCCAGTATTCCTTTAGAGCAGTGCAAAATGGACTAACACAAAGGGCATTCAACAGAAAGACAATAGATGAAAGGCCATTGCAGGTGGAGGGGAAACCAGAAGCAGAGACAGGAGTTGGAGTAATGAGAATCGGCAAGAACTCTTTGAGGTGAATGGGCAGAATGAAAACATAAGAGAACTGATATCAGAGCTACGAAGAACACCTACATCTAAAGCTCGGACAGAACAAAAGGAACTGTGGTAAAAGGAGCCCCTTTTGCCATTAGGCTGGCTCTTGTAATTAGCTAGTGGAATATGGAAGGAAATGGTGTGTGCCAACCTAGGCCTGAGCATGAAATCATTTTGCTTGACTCTTAACTGGATCCTAATCCCCAAGGCTACCTGAAGCCATATTGCATATGGCAGGGACTCCAACAGCTTCAGTTCTTCATCTCCATCCCTACTCTTACCACCACCCCCTTCCTTAGAGTAAGGCATGGTCAAAAAATGAACTTACTGTGTTAAGCCATTGAGATTCATTGTAACAGTAGCCTAATCCGATGAATTCAGAAATGTTTTATTTCAAGATACAGTACAATGTTAATAATTAGGGACTCACACAACCATTTGAACAGCTAGGGTACAAAGGTGAAAGAAAAACCACAGCTGGCCTACAGGAAATTTGGATGAATAGGAATCACAGGAAGTGCCTGTTGATAATTTCCCTTGACTGCGGCACCAAAGCGGGTGATTTGCAGAAGCTCTCCTAGAGGCTGCTGTAAATCTCACGTCTGCTGGCTGCTCACATGTCTGCCTACAGCTGCCAACAGAGAAAAATGGCTTCACCTTTCTTCTACCTTCCAAATCTTGTGCCATGCTTCTCTTTGGCAGAATCTAACTCAGAACTCTGCAGAAAGAGAAAATCTAGAAGATTTAATTTTACTGCCTCTACTGTGAGATGCAAAAGAGAGTTTGGAAAGGGACTAGGAAGACATTACGTTGATAACAAACTAGCACAAAACAAAAAGAAAGATGAGCAGGAGGGAAAGAAGGAGGAAAAGCAACTTTTTGTGGACTCTAAAAGATGGAATGGTGCCAATGTTGCAGGGATGTCATATAGAAGCAGTACTTAAAAGAGAGCTTTAGAGTTACCAGTATAGACACCAGTCACCAATGAGAAAAGAGCTCAGTAACATTGTGGAGAAAGTGCCTGATATAGTTGAGAAAAGGTGAGACACTTGGATCAAAAACAGGGAAGAAAAGAGTAACTTTTAAGGGCAATTTATATAACTTAAAAAGGACAGAGTTGAATCAAAAATAAGGAAAATGTGGCCAGGTGCGGTGGCTCATGCCTGTAATCCCAGCACTTTGGGAGACCGAAGTAGGTGGATCACCTGAGGTCAGGAGTTCAAGACCAGCCAGGACAACATGGTGAAACCCCCTTTCTACTAAAAATACAAAAAATAGCCAGGCTTGGTGGTACATGCCTATAATCCCAGCTACTCGAGAGGCTGAGGCAGGAGAATCACTTGAACCCAGGAGGCAGAGGTTGCAGGGAGCTGAGACCATGCCACTGCACTCCAGCCTGGGTGACTGGCTATTTCAAGCTTTTCGTCTGATAAGCAAGAAAACAGAGCTCCATATTGTCCCAGTGAATTGCCAAATTTACACAATGGAGATTAAAATATAGGAGCTAGAATCCAGCTCAGGGGTTGCAGCCAAACCAGACTGAAGGATCTAGTTCTGCCCTGCCACCACCAACCCCCTACTCTTCAACCAGGCCTAGTACCAAGAGAAATTTTCCTGTGGATAAAATGAGTGAGAATAGAAAGGTAGTATCAGGCTGTGCTGTGCAATGAAACTGAGTGTCTGTCTCAAGATCTGGTTTGCCACTACATGCTCACCATAATATCTAAAGGTAAAAATGTTGACAATACCAAGTGTTCACAGAGATATTAAGTAAGTGGATCTTCCATACAGTACTTGAGTAGGAATATAAATTAGTACAGCCTTTTTGGAAAACTATTTGGAAGTATTTACAAAAGCTAAAATATGCTTATCCTATGACCCAACAATACCACTCAGGTATGTGCCCAGAGACATGTGTATCTATCGACTAAAAGACATGAGCAACAATGTCTGTAATTACTCAGTTCATAATAGGACAAATCTAAAAACAGCCTACATGTCCATCAACATCTAAGATCCATCTAATCGAATGAATAAATAGATGGTGGAATGTTTAGATAATGAAATACTGTACAACAATGAAAAAAGCTATTGCTATGCTCACCAGCATGGATGACTCTCAAATATCTTCTGTCGAACAACAACAACAAGCCAGACACAAAAAAGTCTGTAGTGCATGATTCTATTAATCAGACTGGAAGACTGTGGGGATTAACTATAGACAATTCTAAATAGTCCTCAACTCTGTTTAATTCCAATATCTCTCATTTTTCTCTTATTAAGAGAATACTTTATTGTTGTTTGCATGGTCTTTCATATGTACGTTTTGTAAACAACCCTGTGTCTTCTCTTCTGGGAGGCTTCCTTCTCCATTATCTTACAACATTGTTCTAAACAAAAGAAGTACTCAATTAATGTTAGCTAGCACTGTGTCTGTCACATAAAAAATAACGAATAAAGATTTTCCAAATGAAGAATGAATTACCATGAACAAACACTGACCAATTTCTAATTTAGGGCCTGGAATAGTTTGGACAGTAAGAGTAACAGAGTTTGATGGATATTCAAATGAATATCTCATTTGCAAATTCTAAGTGACCATTCTCACTGTTGTTGAGACAATGACTTTCTTTAAATAAAAGTGTTTCTTTCTTCTTTTTAAAAATTGCATAATCTTGCTTCAGACCTATTTTTCCATACTGCATTCTATCAAATTTACCTTTTCAGAACTTGTGATACAATGAAGTCAACAACTGCTCTTAAAGTGAAAATTATATGGTAATGGGAAAAGGAAGGTATAGTAGATACAGCATTCTCACATAGGTCTTCAACCACTACCAGCAGCATCAACAGCAGAAGCAGAATTACAACAATAATAACAATTGGTAACATTTGCTGAATGTGTATTACCTACCAGGGCCTAAGTTTTTTACATATCATTTAGCCTTCATAAAATTTCCATAAAATAAGTTAAATACCATTATCCAAATCACATGAACTTTTTGGGCTTCAGATTTTTCATCTGCAAAGTCAAAGTGTTGAAGCAAAGAAAAACAATATAATATACAGCTCATTGCCACATACTATTTTAAGGTGTTCTCATATATACTATTTAATTTGCCATTCCAGTTATCAACTTACTATAGCATTTCCCAGGAACAGTCCTGAATTTACTGGAAACTATCCTGGAAGCCAACTTTACGTATCTTGACATCTAAAAGTAAACAAATCAATTTCCAAAATTATTGTAGGGTATGTAGTTTCATTAAAGTTTCTTGAGGAGACCAAGGGAAGTGGTTATATCACATGGCTCCCACTAACACACTATCTTTCTTTCTTAAACCGCTTGGCTTCTCCAGACTTACCTACTCACCTCTCACTCACAATCTGCCCTCACTATTAAAAAAAAAAAGAGCAGATCTAAAAACATTAAACCAAACGAAACTAACAGTTGGTTAAAATAATAACCACCTATTCCCCTCATGCTTCCCCATGGGAGCCTTGATTCATCCTGCCAAAGGAATAACAACTTAATGGAGTAAGTAGGGCAGATACCCGGAGACACATGGCTAGTTTGCTGCAAATCTGGGACTGGAATCCTTATCCCAGTTTCTAAGCAGTGTTTTTTCCCCTATACCACAAAATTACCTATAAGGGTTCTTCCAGCTCTGAAATAATACAATTCTTTGAAATGTAGAAATAAAAATGGTACAATAGTATAAACAAGTAACCACATGTGTAATGTTCTTCAATTTTTGAGAACTACCAAACACAGTTTCCCCATCTTTTACAGGATGTGTGGATTAGATTTGGAATTATTGCACAGGGCAGTCCTTGGGCCAGTGACTGTCATGGTTTAATATGCCTGGGATCAATCCCAGAGACTTACCCCATGTCTCCTAGGTAAGATCTGGGAAAAACAAAATAGAAGGAATTAGCATTCATTGAGCATCAAGAATAAACCGGGTGCTCTGTTTGGCACTTACACTATCCTCACAACAGCCTTTCAAAAGAGGCATTGTTCCCGCTTTATGAGAACAATGAGACACCAGGAATCTAAACCACTAGTCAAAGTCCACATAATTTATATACGGCAAAGCTACACTTTTTGTTCAGAGAATATTTGAAACAAAAGTCCTAGAACAATCTCTCCACCAGTATCTTGGTCCATTTGTGCTGCTATAAGAGAATACATGAAACTCAATAATTTATAAAGAATAGAAATTGATTTCTTACAGTTCTGGAGATTTCAAAGGCCAAGATGGAGGGACCAGAATCTAATGAGAGTCTTCTTGCTGCATCATCCCATAGCGGAAAGGAGAAAGGCAAGAGAGGGTGAGGCTGTGTGTGTGTGTGTGTGTGTCTGACAGAAAGAGTGTAAAAGGGAGCTGAACTCCCCCTCTTATAACAAACTCACTCCCAGGACAAGAAACCTACTCCCACTATATCAGCATTAATCCATTCACTCTCTCCTCATGGTCTAATTACCTCTCATCAGGCTCTACCCTACCTCCCAACACTGTTGCTTTGTGGATTAAGTTTTCAATACATGCTTTCTTGGGGAGGACACATTCCAACCACAGAAACTAGACAATTAAGTATGCCAAAACCTAACAAATTTAACTATCCTTATGGGGTATATATATTCTGTAATCCCTGTTCTCTCTCTGCTGAGGTGGCGAGACTTAAGGACAGGTCTGCCCCTGTCTGAACACAAGTTGGTAGATCTCTGTTCTAAATTTTTCCTTTAAAAAGGACAGCTGACCTTC